TTTCTTTCTATAACTTTCTCAATTCTTTTTCTCTTTCTCTCTTTCGCTCTCTCTCTCTCTTTCTCTCCTTCTCTCCTCCTGCTCTCCTGCATGGCTCTTTGGCACTTTTGCTCAGAGACGGAACCCAATCCCCTTGCATTTTGGGAAAACGACTTTCCTCCCCAAATCTCTCTGGCTTCGGCTTGCAACGCCTGTGGATCCCCATCCGTGCTCCCGTAGTGTGGCGACGATGTCTAGCGGCCTTCCCGCTTAATGAGAAGCCTTCTCTTCCTTGCCCCAGGGAAAGGGATGGTCTCGCTCAATGGCCACTGCGGTCCCGTGGACTTCCTGGCAGTGGCTTTCAGCACGCTGGCCCCCGAGGTCTTGAAGAGCGACAAAGAGGATGAAGCGGCCAACGACGGAGGCGCATTGATGGACGAGGCGCACCCCAGTGCTCGTTCCTCCGACGTGCCTGCTCCAGACAGTTCCTCCTCCACCAGGGAAATCCGTAAAAAGGGCATCCTCCTGCAGTACCGGCTCCGATCCACCACTCACCTGCCCGGGCAGTTGCTCTCCGTGAGGGACACGCCTTCACCGGCCGGCGGGAATTCCTTCGAACACACCGAGGAAGACGGCTCCATCTATGAAATGGCGGACGATCCGGACATTTGGGTGCGCAGCCGGCCGTGCGCCAAGGAGTCTCATCGGAAGGAGATCTCCTCCCTGGCTGTGATTTCGGGAGGAAGGGGTTACCGCAACTTCAACGCCAACGGCCGGCCTCCGTCGAGCAGCGAAAGCGACAGTACATTACTCCTCTGGCAGGTCCCGTTGATTTTATAGCGCCGTCGGGTTGCGCTTGTCCCTGCCTTTCGTTTTTGCCTTTGTACGGTGGGTGACAACACCGTAGGGGACGGTACATGTGTGGTGGTTGGGGGGGGGGGCTATCTGGTCGGACAGTCCTGCTAATCCCACCAGGTTTTGACCGATTTCGTCGCCTTCAAACTCCCTCCGTGCCCAGTGGTGTTTGCCACCTCTTTTTCACACCTCCGATCTTGGCCCGATTTTCTTTCCGGGACTTTTTCAGGTTTTATAGGAAAAAAATTGCACACTCTCTGCAGGTTTTGGGGGAGCCAGTTAAATCCCCCCCCCGCTTTCTCTGGGGAGGTTTTTTCTTCCCCAGAGAAAAGAGACGTACGGGTTTGGTGTTACCCCTGTGTGAATATCCTACCTACAAATATATATATAGACACACACGCACACACACACACTCTTAATATAAAAGTGCTGTATATTATTAAATTGTATAAATAAAAATCTGTATATATCGGGGGCAGAAATAAAAGTGGGAGGAAACTCCTCCTAGTCCAACTCAATCACGAGCTCCTATCTTGGATTTCCCACTGGGCTTTTGGCTCGAAGTTGACCGCCTTATTCGATGCCAGGAAAATCCTCAAGCCAATTTTTTTAAAAACAACAACAACGGAGACGTAGAGATCACCTCCGCTGGGTTGGCTGGCCTTTCCGAGACCCGAGGACGTCTCTGCTTTTATTTCCTTATTGTCACATTTCTTCTGCGACGTTTCCCAAGGCTTTCCAGTAAATTGGAGGGAGGGGCTTTTAGGGGCAATACAACCGAAGCCAAGAAGCGGAACCATAAAGAGCAACTAAGATGATTAGGGGACTGGAGACTAAAACATATCAAGAACGGTTGCAGGAACTGGGTTTTGTCGAGTTTGATGAAAAGGAGGACTAGCGGAGACACGATAGCAGGGTTTCTATATCTCAGGGGCTGCCCCAAAGAAGAGGGAGTCAAGCTATTCTCCAGAGCACCTGCGAAGGCAGGACAAGGAGCAATAAATGGATGGAAACTAATCAGGGAGAGATGCAACTTAGAACTAAGGAGGAATTTCCTGAGAGTTAGAACAATTAACCAGTGGAACAACTTGCATCTAGAAGCTGTGAATGCTCCAACACTGGAAGTTTTTAGCAAGAGGTTGGATAACCCTTTGTCTGAAGTGGTGTAGGGTTTCCGGCCTGAGCAAGGGGGTTGGACTAGAAGACCTCCAAGGTCCCTTCCTTGTAGAGAAAAGTAAAGTCCTACACTTAGGCAAGAAAAACCAAAAGGACACCTATAGACTGGATGAAACCAGGCTCAATAGAGCTTTAACTGTGAGAGGGATCTTGGAGTCTTAGTGGACAACCACCTAAATAGGAGCCAGCCGTGTGCAGCAGCAGCCAAAACAGCCAACGCAATCCTAAATTGCATTAACAGAGGGATACAAGATCCAGTGAGGTACTAATACCACTCTAGAAAGCCTTAGTAAGGGCACACTTAGAGTACTGCATCCAGTTTTGGTCACCACACTATAAAAAAGACGTTGAGGCTCTAGAAAAAGTTCAGAGAAGAGCAACCAGGATGATGAGGGGACCGGAGGCTAAAACATAGGATGAACGGTTGCAGGAACTGGGCCTGGCTAGTCTAGTGAAGAGAAGGACCAGGGGAGACAGGAGAGCATCTTCCAATAGTTGAGGGGCTGCCCCAGAGAGGAGGAGGAAGGGGGTCAAACTATTCTCCAAGGCCCCTGAAGGCCAGACAAGGAATAACGGATGGAAACTGAACAGGGAGAGATTCAACCTGGAAATAAGGTGAAACTTTCTGACAGTGAGAACAATGAATTCATGGAACAGAAGTTGCCTTGGGAATTTGTGGGAGCTTCATTCCTTGAGA